TTATAGTAAAAAGTGCAAAAAAAAAAATGACCAATGTCCATTTAACTTTAATGTGATATATTTTCCCTCATCTCCCCAAAAAAGGTTCCTTGAAATTTGGAAAAATATTTTACAGAAATTCCAGGTGTGTTTATTTATTCTATTGTATTAAATCATAAGTACAACATCTTTATACTCATATCTGAATGTATCTCATTAAAGTCTATTTAAACCAATGCCTCTTTGAAGTTTGGTGAAATATTTTTGCAAACCTGTCAGATATATTCATTTATATTATTGAGTAATTATTTTATATAAAATATGTAAAAATAAATCTGTACACTGTATGAGCAATATCCTTCTTGTTATTATCACACCTATACAAACCTCCCAACACGTGAACGAATGGCTCCTTGTAGGGCAGCCTGAAATTTATGTATTTTCTTTAAAAATAAAAAGGCCTGCAAAACTGTAGCTGAATAAGGGGTCTTTTTGTCTCCCTCTGCATTACCTTCCAAAATTCCCATCAATATTTCAGCTCTCCACACGAAATTTTGTATTCCTTCCCATTTCTCTTGCTACCATCCGCAAATCTCCTCCTTCCTTCCGCCCCGTGTAAAAGGGTCTTCGGGCACATTTGTTCTTCAGGTTTATATGCTGTAACATTTTCTATAAACGCAGTTTCCCTGGAAGTTTGACCATTTGTTTTCTGTCCTCCTCACTCTCCCACTCTAACCCCCCCTCTCCCTCTATTCCGATGCCCGTTACTAGAGAAATGCGGGTAATCTTAATGCATAAGAATAGCTTAAAGCGTGCACAAAAATAAAGAATTAAACAAAAAGAAAAATTAACAAAGAGGACTTTAGATTTTGTAGGGACGATGAGATGGGATGTTATGTTTATTAGAACTTGTTAAGGGTGAATGGCATTGTGCACTTTAATTTTTCAAAACACTTTATGGTAATGCCATTGGATAAGCACTTCTATTATTCAGATAAATGAAAAGCGCTACAAAATTTCTTTGAGGATCTGCAATGGTAGATGGTAAAGAAGGAAATGGATATTATTTTTGGGTTTTATAATCATAAAGAAACTAATTATAGAACAGCGTCTAAACTTATAAAAACTTTGATTGAATTTTAAAAACTTGTCACCTATTTATTCGAAAAGTGTATTATTCAAAAAATAATTGTATTAAATTTGAAGTCGAAGAAAAGTACATTTATTTTTCCTGAAGGGAATTAATTTTTAAAATAATGTGGAATACTTATTTCTCATATATAGCCATTCATTATTATTTTCATATTGAGTACAAATTTTTTATTTTAAAAGTTAAAGAAAAGTTGCTTATTCTAAAATGAATGTTTTTTTCATATTTACTATCACCTCCATACAAATATTCATCAAATGCATTGACACATTATGGCTCCTTGAAATACAATCACAGTTATATAGTTTGTTCAATTTTATTATTAAAACAAACACAGTAAACAAACGTCTCTTTGAAATTTTGTAAAATATTTTACAAACCTATGAAGCATATTTATTTATATTATTGCGTAATTTTTTATTCAAAATATGTACAAAATCATATATACATGTATCAGCATGTATATCATTATAGTTTCTTAACAAGTAAACAAATCTATCTTTAAAATTTGGTAAAATATTTCACAAGCCTGGCAGGGATATTTATATATATTATTGAGTGATTTTTTTATATAAAATATGTAAACAAATATGTATACTAATATCAGCAATATTCTTCATGTATTATAACAGCTGTATAAATCTCCAAACACGTGAAGGAATGGCTCCTTGAGTTGCAGCTCGAAATTTATGTATTTCCCTTCAAAATAAAAAGCCTGCCAAACTGTAGCTGAATAAAGAGTCTTTTTCTCTCCCTCTGCATTACCTTCCAAAGTTCCCATTAATCTTTCAGCTCTCCACTCGAATTTTTGTATTCCTTCCGATTTCTCTTGCTACCATCCGCAAATCTCCTCCTACCTTCCACCCCCTGTAAAAGGGCCTTCAGGCACATTTGTTCTTCAGGTTTATACGCTGCAACATTTTCTGTAATCGCAGTTTCGCTAGAAGTTCGACCATTTGTTTTCTGCCCTCCACGCTCTCCGACTCTAACCACCTTCTCTCTCTATCCCGATGCCCGTTACCGTGGAAATGGGGATAATCTTATGCATAAGAATAGCTTAATGCGTGCAAAGAATGGAACAAAAAAAAGTATAAAGAGGACATTCGATTTTGTAGGGACGATGAGATGGGATATTTATTAGAACTTATTAAGGTAAAAGGACATTATGCATTTAAATGTTTCTGAACACTGTATCGTAATGACTTTGAATAAGCCCTTCTATTATTCAGGTAAATGAAAAGCAGTACAAAATTTCAATGAGGGTCTGCAATGGTAAATGGTAATTGGATATTGTTTTGGGGGTTTAAAATCATAAAGAAACTAATTTTAGAACAGCGTCTAAGTATGTAAAACCTTTGACAGAAATATTTAAAAACTTTAGTATATTTATTTGAAAAATGTATTATTTAAAATATAAACATATTAAATTAGAATTCGAAGAAAAGTACATTTATTTTTCCTGACGTGTATATATTTAAAATACGGTAGAATACTTATTCCTCATATAAAGTTATTCGTCATTATTTTCATATTAAGTACAATTTTTTTATTTTAAAAGTTATAAAAAGTTTCTCTAGCTAATAAGAACAGTTTTTTTTCCATAAAATATCAAGGCTGCTCAAATATTCATAAAACATCTGAATGACCAATTATGGCTCCATGAAACCAATTCACAATAATTTTATTGTTCTTCCATTCATATTATTAAATTCATTTCCATTCATATTATTGAAATTTGTTATTTACTGTAAAAAGTTGAAAAAAAAAAACTTATGCCCATTTCATACCAGATGTCATATGCTTTTTCTTGTTTATAAGTCTTCCAACGCTTTAAAAATGTGTGTTTGAGATTTGGACACATACTTTACAGAAATGTTCAGTGTACTTACATATTTTATTGTATTAATTTTAATTAAATATGTTTAAAAAAACCATGCATACACGTATCAGCATGTATCACTAAAGTTTCCTAACACGTAAACAAATGTCTCTTTGAAATTTGGGAGCAAAATTTGCAAACCTATCAAGTATATTTATTTATATTAATGAGTGATTGTTTTACAAATCCTTCAAATCCTTCAAAATCCTTCAGGTATCATCACACCTATACAAATCTTCCAACACACAACATCTGGAAAAAGACATCTGTTTATTACTTTTAAAATAAAAAATTTGAACTCAATAAAAAAATAATGTCACTGTACCGTAAAATAAGCATCAGTTTAAGTATAAATATGCTACGATATTTTAAGTATATGCGCGTCAGGAAAAAATAATTTACTTTTTTCGATTGCAAATTTAACATATTTATTTTTTAAATAATACATTTCTCATATAAATACGTTACAAGTTTTTAAATATTTCAGAGAAAGATTTTACATGCTCAGACGATGTTCTAAAATTAGTTTCTTTATGATTTTAAACCAAAGACATTATCCATTTCCTTCTTTACCGTTTGCCATTGCAGATCCTCAGTGAAATATTGTAACACTTTTCATTTACCTGAATAACAGAAGCACTTATCCAATGGCATTACCATAAAGTGTTCTGAAAAATTAAAGTGCTCAATGTCCACCTCCCTTAACAAGTTCTAATGAACATCCCATCCCATCTCATCGGCTCTACAAAATCGAAAGTCCTCTTTATACTTTTTTTTGTTCCATTCTTTACATGCATCAAGCTATTCTTATGCATTAAGATTATTCACATTTCCACGGTAACGGACATCGGGATAGAGAGAGGGGGAGAGTGAGGAGGGCAGAAAACAAATGGTCAAACGTCCAGGGAAACTGCGATTACAGAAAATGTTACAGCGTATAAACCTGAAGAACAAATGTGCCCGAAGACCCTATTACACGGGGTGGAAGGAAGGAGAAGATTTGCGGATGGTAGCAAAAGAAATGGGAAGGAAAGCAAAATTTCGAGTGGAGAGCTGAAAGATTAATGGGAACCCTGGAAGTTAATGCAGAGGGAGACAAAAAGACTCTTTATTCAGCTACAGTTTGTCAGGCCTTTTTTATTTTTAAGGGAAATACATAAATTTCAGGCTGCCCTACAAGGAGCCATTCGTTCACTTGTTGGGAGGTTTGTATAGGTGTGATAATAACATGAAGGATATTACTCATACAGTGTAGAGATTTATTTTTACATATTTTATATAAAATAATTACTCAATAATATAAATGAATATACCTGACAGGTTTGCAAATATATTTTACCAAACTTTAAAGAGGCATTGGTTTATATATAGTTTAATGGGATACATTCAGATATGAGTATAAAGATGTTGTACTTATTTAATAAAATATATTACAGTAGAATAAATAAACACACCTGGAATTTCTGTAAAATATATTTCCAAATTTCAGGGAACCTTTTTTGGGGAGATTAGGGAAAATATATCACATTAAAGTGAAATGAACATTAGTGTTTTTTTTCCACTTTTTGCTATAAATAACATATTTAAATTAATTATATAAATGAGAAATCTGTAAAATTATTGTGATTTGGTTTCAAGGAGACATAATGTGTCATTCAAGATTACGTCGTATCTTATCGTCAGTTTTTATATTTTGTTGTTGTTGTTTCTTATCCTACTTGGCTGGCCAAGCCCACGAGCACATACGTGCTCATGATTGAAGGGGAAGGAAGCAGCTTGTGTTGTGATGGAGCACCCGTAGGTAGAAGCCTGACTTTTGCTCCGCGACGCTCTTACAGTCATATGAGACCGGGACCTACGGCTTAAAGTTGATTCCGAACCACTACAAACATCCATGGCACCGCCGGTAATTCGAACCAATAGAATAAATAAACCTGTGGCACCGAGTGTCAGAGCGCTAGACACTCGGCCATTCAGGTCCCAAATTTGCGAACGGCACGCGGTGTTCCCAGGTGGTCAACATATTTAAATTAATTAGTACTGACCGCGCCCAATGATGCTTGACTTCGGTGATCTAACGAGAACCGGTATATTCAGCATGGTACGGCCGTTGGCGTTTTTATATTTAAATATTTAAAACAATCAGTTTTTAAAAGTCTCATAGAAAGATTTTACATGCTTATACACAGATCTAAAATTAGTTTTTTATGATTATAAAACCCAAAACAATATCATTTCTTTCTTTACCATTTACCATTACAGATCCTCAGTGAAATTTCGAAACGCTTTTCATTTACCTGAAT